GCTGCTCAGCCCCTGAAGCAATGTCAGGGTTCGCAGGGGAGCAGTACTTGTGCCTGGGGGTAGGAAAGAGCTGTTCCCTGCCACCTGGCTGCTGTGCCTGTCTCCACTGCCTGAGCCAGTGGGCCGGGCGCACAGGTACAAGTTTTTGTCCCAGAGCAGCCAGATATGGATCCCTGCTTTCTACAAGCAGCCGGAATCCCAGTCTCCCCAGGAACTCTGCCTGTATTAACTTTCCAACCCGGTAGTCATGCGAGTCTCATGAAAGCACCATGAAATGTAGGTTTGTGCTCCCAGAGCAAATCTCCGGAGCTAGGTATTCAGCAGTCCCAGGCCTTCCACTCCCTCCCTGCTCAGTTTCTCTTCCTCCCGCCAGTGAGCTGGGGTGGGGGAGGGGCTCGGGTCCCACGAAGCCACAGCTCTGGTACTACCCCATTTGCTAAGGTCTGCTCTTTTCTCCAGGTGTGTGCAGTCTAATGCCATCCTGTTTACTGTTGCTCTTTCAGGATTAGTTGCACCAATTAAATTTTCTAATTGTATCCAGTTTTAGGAGGAAGCCTCTTTCTCTCCTCTCACGCAGCCATCTTTAATCCCAAATCCTAAATTTTAATCTAATACAGTCTATCAGTTGTTTCTTTCCTGGTTCATGTGTTGTTCCTGAAAAGTCTTTTCAAACTCAAGGTCATCTAGATTTTCTCCTGTGTTCACTTCTATGAGTTTTATGGTTTTACATTTTACACTTAGGTTTGTGATCCATTTTGAGTTTTTGTGAAGGGTGTAATATCTGTCTAGATTCCTTTTTTTGCATGTGGATGTCCACTTGTTCTGGCACCATTTGTTCAAGAGACTGTCTTTTCTTCCTTGAATTGCCATTGTTCCTTAGAGACCAGCATAGTGTTATTTTAAAGTGAATTTTAAATCTCATTTGCAAATTCTCTTAAAGGTTGTACCATAGGCTCTAAATCCAATGACTGGTATCCTGATAAGGAGGAGAGGACACAGAGGCAGATACACATAGAAGGAAGAAGCCACATGAAGAAAGAGGTAGAGATCAGAGTCAGGTTGTCACAAGCCAAGGAATGCTGCCAGGAACCACTAAAAGCTAAGAGATTATTCCCTAGAGCCTTAACAGGGAGCATGACCCCGAAGACACCGTGATTTCAGAATGCAGTTCCAGAACTGTAAGGGAACAGATTGTGTTTTGGCACCCCACTGTTTAAAGCCACCCAGTCTGTAGTACTCTGCTACAGTAGCTCTAGGAAACTATACATCAAGGAAAATACAGTCTCAGTATTAGTTTATAAACTTAAAGATTTAAATGTCAGGCTAAGTGGCAACAAGCAACTTATATTATCCTAACAGGAAAGAAAAACAGCTAATAACAATAGATATTATTTTACATGTAAAGGAAATATTAGAACTGCTGTGATGCATGCATGGATTGGCATGACAAATACGAATTTGAATTGCATAACTTTGCAATCCAACACATCTAGTAAAAATTACACTTACATTTCTTTGCTCATAAGGGACATCTATATAATTATAAGGAATATAGACATGAATTATGCATTCTGAAATGTATATATTATACTTTGCCACAAATTTTTGATAATTTTTAATTATTCAGGCATTTCTTTTAAAAAATCACAGGTATCAGTTTAGCATTGATAGAGCATTCATTAAAATTGGTCACCTTGAAGATCAATAGAGAGATGGAACAAAAATTTATTCAATTCTTCATGCAAATAATGTTTTTTAAAAGTACTTTTATTTAAAAGAACTTGGTAAATAATTGTTAGCTGCTTCTAAAAATGTGTAACATCTATTTAAAAATGCATGTTAAACTGATTATATTAGAATAATGGGGTGGGAGCATTTTTCTTGAGAAAGCTTTTCTCAAAAATTAATCCATGAATCATTACTGGATGTGTAGATTTCACTGTTGCTTTGTAGCAGTCTTCCCACTTCTAAAGGGGAAAAAGGCTCAATTAGAAAACAAAAGCAATTGCTTTAAAGAAAAAAAAAGTTGTACCAATCAGCAGATACGTTCTGGTTGTAGAAGCATCAGCAATGAGTGAGTTCTGGTTGTATACATACATGCTATGCCTTCTACTTGGAATCCTTCATGCTGTGTTACTTGATTTATTCATTCCTTTCAGAAATATTAAGTACTTGGTCTGGGTTGGGTACTATCCTAGGTGCTAGAGATACAAGCGTCAGCAAAACAAACAAGGTCTATTCTTGTGAAGCTTAATACTGTAGAGAAGAGGTTCTGAACCAAAAGTTAATGGTTCAGGGATCCTTGGAATCTCAAGACCCTTTGAGTGTCAAAGCTTTTTTCCACAATTTTGAGACATGAGAGTACAGCGCAGTTGCCCAGAGGTGACATGATGTGTGCTATCTTAAAAGATTAAATGTAGAAGCAGATAATGAATATCCAACTGTATTTTATTATGTTTGGCATTAAAAAGACTTGCAAAAATATAAACAGACTCTTCTCTCTGTTATGGAAAACAATTATTTTTCATAAACATTTAATATATAATGCATTTTAACATGTTATGAAAAATGTTAGCGGTAATTTTAATATGAAAAACACCAAAAATTTTATTGACTTAAATTTCTAATATATTAAACATCAATACATATAAACCACATAGGCATAAAGCTCTTTTGGGGTCTTCAATAATTCTTTAAAAGTGTAAAGCAGTGAAGGCAAACTGTTTCTTAAATGGGGCCAGATAGATTTAAAGGGCTTAGGAGTCATGGGTCAGCTATTCAGCGCTGCCTTTAAAAGCACTCATAGACAAACAATATGTAAATGAATGAGCGTAACTATGTTCCAATTAAACTGTTTATAAAAACAGGCAAGTGGCCTGCAGCTGTAGTTTGCCAACCATTTCTGTAAAGGGTTCCTGATACCAAAAAAGTTGGAGAGTTGCTGTTATCAGTGAAAAGTTGATATTATTGGAATAGTGGGGGAGAAGGGGAGAAAATAGACAATATGTAAGTAGTCTTGAAGAGTTTCAGATGGTAAAATATTACATTAAGACAACCAGAAGAGGGATCTGACCTTTAGATAAAGTAATTAGGAAAAAGCCTCACTAAGGAGCAGATTTTTGTCAGCTCATACTTGTTCAGAACCTAGCAAGGCACTATCTTCCTTCTTTTTTAGCTCCCCTAGCTACATTAGGGATCCTCTTGTGTTGGGAGGGAGAGCAAAAGGTAATTTAATTAAATTTTTATTTGTGCTTATTTTGAATCTTAGACTCCAATTCAGAAAAGATCGATTTTTTCAAGTATAATCAGAAAACATTCAAAGCATACCTGCTTTGAAAGACTGAGGAAATTATATAGCCTAGATTAGAACATTGACTTGTGTTATATGACATTTAGCAGTTTACTTTTGTATATCATTTTTCTCTTCTAAAAATGAGTTGGTTAAAGTCTCTTCCAAGTCTAAAATTTGTGATATGTTTATTTGCTTTGTCTAGGATGCCATTTCCCACTCCTCCCCCCACCTCTCCTAAGTCTTCACTGATCCAGATATGGTTCCAGCTTCATTTTTTACTAGTTTTATTATCTGAAACATTAACTTTATTTTGAAATCTATTTTCTTACCTGTAAGGTGGGGGTAAATGGAAGCTCACTGTAATAGTTAAATAAGAGGTATGTAAACCATTGCGGACAATACCTGCTACATACTGGGTGCTTAATAAATGTTTGGGGCAGCTCTTTTGGTGAGATGGAGGAGAATCTCTACTTTGCCTCAGTATTTAGCTTGCTGACCCTGGAGCCCATGGAGACATTAGCAGCCAGAACAAAACCAGCAGCCAACAGGCAGCTCCAATGAGAGACGTGGAAATTAAACATGAAAACTTATAATAGAATCCATGAGCCGTGCAGTCCAGGTTTATGTGGCCATTCCAACTTTAGGGAAAGGAAGATGAAGCAGCCATTCTTGACATTAAGTTCTCTTCTTTCAAAGGAAACTGGGGGTATCTACATAATTAAAAAATGCTCTACCATATCAAGACATAATTTTAACCAAACCAGATTCATTAATTAGAACTTGGTGAGTTCTTCTGGAATGCAGTGTAACACAAAGATTGGAGTTACGAGGAAAAAAAATAAAAGTTACAGGAAGAAAGATGGAGGAGAGTAAATATTACAATTATATATATATGTGCCTACTCAAATCTACTCATCTACGCAAGGAACTGAGTAGATGAAAAGAATCAAAGAACAATTAGAAGTCCACTAAAATAAAAGAATTAAGCCTTTGGGTTGAAAAGACTCACCTAGTGTTTGGCAAGTGTTGATGGCATATACCTACATGTTCTGGTGACAGTTTTTCCAAAGGTAGAACCCTACAAGCCACCTGTCAGTGGTGGAGAAGGAAAACATGTCAGAAGTTTGAAAAGCCTGCTCTCCTAAGTCTCAAGCTGTGGCAGAGTGTTAATACGAATTTGTTAGGTCTTGTTGGTAGGACGCTTAGGACACAAATATGTGTTGGTAAGACATCATCTTGGGTCCCCCAAATCCCTACTGTTTTTCTTAAACCAAAGAAGAAATAATTTTCCATTAACCTAATATGTTCTCCAGACTTTAGGATCAGTACTCTAAAACTAACTAGAATGGCTGAACTTAACAGGTGTTACCAAGTGTTGGTGAGCAAGCACATGGAGGAATGGAACTCTCGTGCTTTGTTAGTGGAAATGCGAAATAGTATAAACATGTCTTCATCACTGCAGAAGGTTCTGTTCTGTTGGGCAGGTACGGTTCTACATCGTAATTCTATTTTACTTGTTATTATCCTTATGTTTTTGTTTCATGTTGAATCTATAGCTTATCAACATCAAAAATGAAATCTCCCAAAACAGGGCAAGCCCTAATTAAGTATATGCCCTGTTCACCAGGGTTAGAAGCCTCCAAATACAGTGATTCTGGCAGCTGAAAGCACATGTGCTTTGCTTTACACATTGGAGTTAGGGTTTGCATTTTCCTTTCCATTTACTGTGTCAACAGCTTTGTTCAGACTTCTGTTTTTACAGCAGCCTTCCATCAGGTCCTTTTTCCTGGGCTTCTCCTAAAGCAGATCGTCAGTCTTACTAAACATATAACTCTCCTGTAGCTATAAAGCTTTCAGCATTATAAGGAAAATAGGGCTTTTAGGAAAATGCATACAATTAAAATTCTTTATTACTTTGCTGCAATTCTAGAAACTAAAAATAGGTTAATTTTTTTTCTTAGCATTATTGGTTTATTACAGTTTGATTTTTAACTTTGGCATTTTAAGCTTTTGAATTTTAAAGGAGACTTTAATTTTGTCAGTAAGAAAAAAATAGAAGCAATTTTTAACATTAATTTAACAGACACTTTCTGTCTAATGTCCATCACAATGTCAAATGTAGGAAGTACCTTTTTCACAAAAAGGAGGAAAGCCCTTAAGTTTTGGATGGAGTTTTTGTTTAACTCACTGATTCCTAATACAGAGAGCAAATTTGTAATCTAAACCTGTACTTTTATTTTATTATGAATATACTGTGTCATTTCTAGGAATATTTTTGGAGAAGTGGAAGAGGGGTAGCAGTATTTGCATGCTGTCCTTTTTTATACTAAATTAAGGATGCATTTTATTTTATTTCTAATGATTGTTTTCATAATTCTCAGTCAGACTAATCTTTGCAAGGCAGTTTCTTCATTGGCAACGTTGAAGGAAATTTTGCTAAAAATCACCAGTGTATAACTACTCAGAGAACCAACTCACTAGTCATTCTCTCATGTAGCTTTCTTGATTTCTCATGTCCCCAGCCTTCCATGTATGTTTTGTTTGTAACATGCGTTTATATTACATTGTGATCCTTTTTTCAGGTCTGACAACATTTCTCCATGTTAAACTTTTATTTTGTAAGCCACTCTTGGCTCCCTGATGCTGCTGTAATGTAACATTTTCATGGGTTCAGTGGCAGGCATTAGGACTCTGACGTCTTTGCAGAAAGTATTTCCCTGCCATAGTGACAGTGGTAAACTGCACAAAAAAACTGGTAAGCACATTGTTGTGTATTAATTAGAGTAGGGGTTTATTTATAAAAGAAAAAAGTTTCTCCCTGAAATTGAGAATAAGAGTTTAAGTCCATCTACTTCTACTGTAAATATGTTAATGTGGCAAAACATTAAATAGTTAAATGCTCTGAAATGATTAGGACAACATTAAAGACTGATTCTAAGATGTTCTGATTTAGTTTGAAATATGTTTACACTTTAGACCAAACTGGACTTAAGATTTAGGTCCTAGAAAGAATAGGTAGTAGTATAATTCGTGCTAAATTTTGTTTTTTTAGCTAATTTTGGATTCTGTGGCCTTGTCTTAGTGTAATACTTTTATGGAGTTTTCAACTCTTTGTAAAACCACTTTAAATATTCTCCCAAGTTGAGAAATACCGTTAATGTTTACTGTGCTACAAATGAGCTAAATGGCAGTTGATCATTGGCACACGTGTTTGATCACCTTTATAAGCAAAAGGTGTATTTGAGACTGTATAGCTGGAACCCACAAGTTTTAGATGCCTAGTTGGTGACCTCAGGTGGGGCAGGTAACTTTTGGAGGTCTCAGGTGAATACTTACGTATTTTGGAGAATGTACCACTTAGGACATACCTAGGTCACCATCTCCTTTAATTCAGATGAAAGCCATGGGAGATTAGAAATACTGTCCCAGTTTTACAACTGAGCAGGTGGTGAAGCCTGGATTTTAATCCAAGTCTAGAGACTCACTTGTTGAGAGATGTGTCAGTAGATTATTCATTTTCAAACAGTGCTGTAAGGTTCTGTACAGGTCCTTTGGAAGAAAAATGAAAAAAATTTTTAGGGGACCAATCATCCCCTTGTTTTGTATATTTGGGTTTTGTCTTAATTCTGTTTGTAAAGAGTTTCTCTGCCTAAAACATATGAAGTCTCCTGCCTTAGCAACCTGAGACCCATCTAGAATAAACATACATTAGAAAACAATGTAGACAGTACTAATTTATATTTGTCAATGGACAGACTATTTTCAATTGTATTTCTATTCCTAACGATGTTTTGGGTAGCCTAATATTAAAATGAAGTTGAAGTGATTGAACACACTATTAATAAGTTGGGAAAGTGATTAGAGGTAAGATTTGACGTGGAAAATGGGTTATCTACAATTTATTGCACAGTGTTTGCCCCCCACTACCAGTTCTTGCTGCTGTTAAAGGCTGCCCTATAAGCATGATGTAATGACAGGTTAAACCTCTGAATGCACAAGCTGACGCAATGCAAATCTGAGGCCGGGACTTGAGTGGGCACGGTAATGCTTGTTTAAATACAAAACAAGCTACTCTGTTTAATGAGGCCATTTAAAATGGCTTTGCTGGAGGGAGAAGAGAGTATAATCTCAATTTGGAGGTTGAAGTAGGAGTTTAATATGGTTATGTGTGTTTACTACCCTTTACTGCAGTTTTTTCAAAGGGAGAGGGGAGTTAAAAATGTGTTGACGGGTAGAAATGGAGAAGAAATGAGTTAGAATTGAGGAAATTGGTAATTGACCCTCTGTAAAAAGTTACTGAATGAAGTGGGCAGAATCCTTTTACTCTATAAAAACGCACAGTTAACCTGGAGAGCATAGTAGAGCAGAGCGCTTGTCTGGCCACACATTTCCCATATACTCTGTAGCTCTTAGGTTAAAACCATGTGAATTTCCAATATCCGACTGCTTTGGCCTACAAAAACGGCACGTTTCGATCAAAATATAACCTGGTGGAAATGCGGAGGCGTGCACGATGTTGTTTGGGGGTACAGGGCTTATACTATACTACACTGGGTCCTAGGTTTGCAGGACAGTGCCCTGGAGCCACCCTGGGCTGCTGTGGGCTGGGTGGGGTCAAGCTTTCAGGTAGCCTGTGCCAGCCCGCCTCACCCCGCCCCGGCGTCGCTCCACCCCACCACGCCCCTCCTCTCCCCTCCCCTGCTCTCCCTGCCCCGCCCCTCAAGCCAGGGGCAGCCGCAGCCCAGGCCGCTGCGAGCTGGAGGCAGGCTAACGCTCTGAGTTGGAGCAGACGTTCCTAGCGGCAGCCCAGCCCCAACCTTCGCCTTCAAACTGTTCTCCCAGCACCCCGGATCCTGCAATAGGAGCTCCAGAGCTGGCTCGGAGCGTGCCGCCGCCTCTGGCCACCGCACACCATACAACACCGTCCTTCGCCCAAGCTGGTTGGATTCTAGTTAGTGAATCTGGGGGAAGACAAACTTTCGCGACAGACGAACGTTTAGGGCCCAGAAGAGGGCAACTCAGCGATGGTGCCTATTTTTGGAGAGACGGGCGAATTTGAGCTCGCGGGGAGGTGTGGTTGATACCTTTTGGGATGGGAGAGGCTTCATTTCCCTTCCTCCGTAACCAGTGCTTCTCAGCCGTGAGTGGAGGGCACGTACCATCTCTTTCTGCAACTTAACCCTGGACAATTTAGGAACAGAAGGTGTCCAGAAGGGCCTTTGTTACAAGTTGTTTCTGCTTCCGGGGGAAAGGCTGTGAGCTGCCTGACTTCTCATGACCGGGAAGTCTGCCTTCTCTTACTCCTGGAGGGGCGTCTTGCTCACATGCTTACCAGCAGCTGGGACAAGGAAGAGAAGAGGTATTGACGTTAAGAGACAGGGTTGCTTAACTGTGAAACGGTAAAGTTATTGTAAGCCAGTGGAATCTTACTGGATCAGGGAATGGCTGCAGTGAAATTGAGCTCTCAGTGGTGTTTTTGATTGGCTATACTTTTCTCAATTTATCAAGCTTCAGGTTACATCGTGACTTCTGCAGTGTTGTTCAGAGACAGAGTCTAGTGTGTTCTTGGTTCCTACCGCAGGGCTGCTGTCTTGGGGTTAGATTTTTTTTCGGTTTGAAAATGGAGCTGGGTTCCACCTTCAGAGGTTTGGGAGTTTTTAGCAGCTGCTGTCCTGTATGTAATAACTCCATTCACAGAAATACCGACCGCATTTCACTTGTTTTCACACTGAATAGCAATTTAAATTGTGCTTTCTACAATGTTTGGAAAAATAATAAAAGATATATTGTAACATGAGCATGAACTATTGATGATAAATGTATAGGTATTTTGCTAAGAAATTAAACAAGTGTTTCCTTTGTTTAGCAGGTACATCGAATACAAACTGAGTGTACTGCTTCTTGATGTAATTAACTGTTTTGGTTTGGTGATTTGAAAAGACATTGGTGGCTTAGACTGTTCCGCAAGGAATCATTTTCCAATTATTATGTTGCTCACTTAAATGAGCAGTATAAAATGAACCATGACATAGGCATACAGTATACATACAAGCGGTTTTCACAAACCTAAAAGCCCACTGTTTTACAAGTAACCTCAACACACAGATCACTGTATGTAAAAGAATCTCCTGGGCACGGGGTGGAGGGGGACGGTACAACGACTGGTACTGGAGGGTTCCTTTAAAGTCTTTTTGTTGGGCTGGAACATCTGTCCTCCCCTCCCCTTCAATGCCCATTTAAGTTGTTTACCCATGAGTGATCTAGAACCCAGTGCTTTTACACGGTCACATTGGTAACCAGCATTGTTTTTTCAAAGTTAATTCTTTGCAACAAAATTATAATTGAGAAAGCATGACGTTTGAGGTATTAAATATAATTTTATAGAAATAATGACTTATATTGTTACTGGGAGAACACTCTTAGGACATTATGTCCGTCCCATCCCAGTACCCACTGCCCCAAGACAAATAGTGGCCTGCCTTATACCAGCAAAGGTAGATTCCAGGGAAAAGGTGCTTATTTTATTCAGGCTGACTAGTTACACAATTGATCACTTCTTCAGATGCCATTTATCACTTATATAATAATATTGTGCTGATGAATGTGTCAGCAACCTTGCTGAGCCCCAGGATACAAGGAATTCTTTACCTGTTTACTCTTACCTGATGCTTTTAGCTTTATGCTTTGTTTTCTTGACTCTTTCCCCTTTGCAAATTGTATCTGAGTTATATTGTGGAATGCAAGTAGAATTGAATGATTAACTTTCTCTAAATACCAGACTAAATTTAAACAACTTGAGAATGGCCCTCCATTTCTCCCCTATCCCCCTTCACTTTTGAGGGGGGCACTGATCAGTAGGAAACAAAATTATTCCTATCTGATATTAACATTCTAGGGGAACATTTATTAGATGAAGATGGCTGATGTAGTGGCAGCAGGCCTTCCCCTTGTGACCCCCTTCATTCCCAATACACCTGTAGAGCAGATAGCCATTCACCATTAGGAGTTAAAGTCAGTATCCTGCTGACCCCTTGGATCACCTGAAACTGCCCCATAGCTATCAGCAGCTGACTCAGTGTGGGAGGAGACTCAGGGGAATTGAACACAGAGGAGGAGAAAGTCTATTCAAAACTGATTTAAGCTACTTACACAGTGTTTCTTAGTTGTTTATGGTCCAGTTTATATTTCAGCATTTCTCCAAGTAGATCATCTAGTTGATTTTAATAATTTTTTAAGAAAGGGAATTTTAAATGTGTTTTGAACATTTTGAAAAGACATGTTATCCAGTGTACAACTCCTAATAATCAAAATGCATATTTTTTGTTATTTGTATGTTTTTTAAACCCTATTTTCCTTTTTTCTTTTGCCCAGAGTATATTTATTGTGAAATTTAAGTATTTCTGGTATGTAAATATTATCTACAAAACAAGGTATAATTGTATCTTTCTCCTGCCCCCCCCCCTTTTTTTTCTTTAAATTGCAGAAATGAGCCGTCAGACTGCAACAGCATTACCTACTGGAACCTCTAAGTGTACACCATCCCAGAGGGTGCCTGCCCTGACTGGCACAACCGCATCCAACAATGACTTGGCGAGTCTTTTTGAGTGTCCGGTCTGCTTTGACTATGTGTTACCACCCATTCTTCAGTGTCAGAGTGGCCATCTTGTTTGTAGCAACTGTCGCCCAAAGCTCACATGTTGTCCCACTTGCCGGGGCCCATTGGGATCCATTCGCAACTTGGCTATGGAGAAAGTGGCCAATTCAGTACTTTTCCCTTGTAAATATGCCTCTTCTGGATGTGAAATAACTCTGCCACACACAGAAAAAGCAGACCACGAAGAGCTGTGTGAGTTTAGGCCTTATTCGTGTCCGTGTCCGGGTGCTTCCTGTAAATGGCAAGGCTCTTTGGATGCTGTAATGCCCCATTTGATGCATCAGCATAAGTCCATTACAACCCTACAGGGAGAGGATATAGTTTTCCTTGCTACAGACATTAATCTTCCTGGTGCTGTTGACTGGGTCATGATGCAGTCCTGTTTTGGCTTTCACTTCATGTTAGTCTTGGAGAAACAGGAAAAATATGATGGTCACCAGCAGTTCTTTGCAATTGTACAGCTGATAGGAACACGCAAGCAAGCTGAAAATTTTGCTTATCGACTAGAGCTAAATGGTCATAGGCGGCGATTGACTTGGGAAGCGACTCCTCGATCTATTCATGAGGGAATTGCAACAGCCATTATGAATAGTGACTGCCTAGTCTTTGACACCAGCATTGCACAGCTTTTTGCAGAAAATGGCAATTTAGGCATTAATGTAACTATTTCCATGTGTTAAAATGGCAAATGTTTTTCTGGCCAGTGTTTAAAACTGTTGCTTTCAATTCCACAGAGAATAAAGCACCCATCCACCTGTCAACCTGAAATTTTTGGTAGGTGGAAGCTAGACACATGAAGGTAAACAAAAGGAAAGGCTGTTAAATACAGGAAAAATACAGGAAACAGTTGCATGTAGTAACACTAATATATTTAAAAATCTGTCAACAGTAAACCACTGAAAAAATATATATATATATATATACACCCAAGATGGGTATTTTTTGTATTAAGGAAGCATTGTAAAATAATTCTGAATTTGTGTTGTAGATTGAGTGTATTGTTGAAAAATATTGGTTTCTTTTTTGTTTTTGTGTGTGCGCGTGTGCGTGTGTGGTTATTTTCCTTTAACTGACAAGCCATGTTGAGTGGTCTTGGACCACTGCTTTTTCCCCTTTGTGAGTCAATACATAGTGCTGCTGTGTATGTATATTTTTTTTGTGTGTGTATTTGCTAATTTTTATTCTAGTTTTTCATTAAATAAATTTGACTTTCTTTTCTGTAATTCAGGTTTTTTTCCTCTTTTTGTATCGTTTTAAAGTTAATGTCTTTTTGGTATGTGTAATTGTTTATGGTAAAGTTATATGTAAGTGTTCAGTACATATTTTCTTTTCCCCCATTAATCGGTTTATTAGAAATACTTTAAATTCAGCTATTTTGTGAAGATAATAAGTTCCAGAAAGGAAAGGTAACATCAGAAGAATTATCAGAAGCTATTTAGAACAGCTGTATGATGGTCTGTCTTTCTCCTTTTTTCTCTGGTTGAGTCATACTTTCAAACTTAGTCTTTGAAAGGTTAGGGAATACTGATTTTCTTCAGATACTGGGGAAAAAAATCAGACTTTTTCCTTTTTCAAATATCTTGGACAAATCACATATTTAAAATTTGTTCTTGTATTTATTGGTTTAACATAGAAGGCATTGTTTTACATGGTATTTGTAATCAAAAGCAAATCATTTGTTTAAAAAAAAGGCAGTTTGCAAGACAGTGTTTTTGGTCTTTTATAATCCCCATTAAAATATCTGGCAAATTAAAAATTCTTCTGTGTCTGCTTTAGCTCATAAGTTTAAAATCGTTATTTTCCTGTTCAGTTCTATACTTTATAGCTGAAACCACTGTGCTATATTTTGAAGCATGACAAATTTATTCTAAAGTACAGCAAAAGAATGGGTATATAGCTTCTCTAGACTACACCATCTTGTCTGTCTTTCCTCTTACCACACAACTGTTAGGGGACTGATTAGTTAAAATGACCACTTTTTCCCCCTTAAGAGCATAAATAAATAAAAATGAGTTAACATGACTTCCAAAGACCTTAGGGGTCAATTCTAGCTCTAATCCACTTATCAGCTGTGTGACCTTAGGATCTAGTTTTCTAGTGTGTAAAATGGGGTTAATTACCTCAAAGGGTTAAATGGGATACAAGTTACCTAAAACAATGCTTTGCACAGAAGTACTCAATAAATGTTCGTATTATGCCTTTAGCACCTTTTGTTAACTGTTGCTATTTATTCTGAGGCACCTGGCAAGATTCTAAAGGTGCCATCTGAATGGCCAAAGCTCATTTGTCTAGTTTTCATGGGTACTCTAAATATGGAAAGTCAGTTAAAATTAATTTGGATTTCCCCCTTATTCCACCACCAGTTAAGGATTTATTTCTTTTTACCATTTTTAGGCAAGAAGACTGTAGTTTCTTCCTCACATAGGTATTATTTTTTGAACTGGTTAGAACGTAATGCTAGCCATTTTTGTGCTAAAGGGAGCAAAGTCAACAAACATACCTGGATCTGTTCCTGTTAGCACGGGTATTTAGAAAAGCAGTTTTCCCCCCTCCCTTATTTTTGTGGTGGTAATTTTAAGTATTTTTAAATGTTTATGGAAGTACTGTATGCTCAATATATAACTTTTTGTTAGAAAATGGCACTTCTAGTAGAGATCTGTAATCTTACCCAGAGATGACTGCAAACATTTTTATTTTTCTAGTCCTTTGTATTACATGTGCTTATATTTATTCTGAAGTAATGTAGTTTTGGATCATGTAATTACATAACCCCTTCACACTCCCATGCATAAAATGATCATCTTTTTCATCACTTTAATAATCTTGGAAACACTCCAATTTGGATATCTGCTGTGAGGATGGATAATTTTAGTCAGTTTCCTGATTGTGGATATTTGCTTTGTCCCATTTGTCCAGGTAAGTTTTGAGCTATTTTTAAATAACCTGTTAACATTTCTGGTTTCTGATTACTATATTCTTGAGATTTTTTTTTTAAAGGTTGTGATACTTTTAAAACTGCTTTCTGGAGAGGTTTCAGTGGATACTTACCGGGAAGTGTGAAGGATTTTCCATTTCATTGTAACCTGTTTTGCTAATTTATGCAAATTTAGATAGTAAATTTTGTGTGATGGCTAATAAGGTTGACATTTTAATACATTTCTTCTAAAAGCTGTCATCATATTTTTGGCCTACAGGGATGGGATCTGTAGCTTTGTATTTCTTGGTCCATTTGAGATTTTTGTTCTTAAGTCATAGAATATTCTTCTTTCTCCTATTAATTTCCCTGCCCTTTTTTTGGTGTTCCAAATAAGTGAATTTTTATAGTAAATAAAGCTTTTCCTAGAATTAAAACTTTTGATATAGCTGTTTTAAAACGTTTCAGTGGTCATTCACTGGATTTGTGTACTGTCTATTCAGATCCTTTTAATATTTCCCATTTTGGTGCTTAAGAAATTTTTTTTTAGTAGTAGTGCAGTTTTCATTGTATCTCCTAAATGTTAGTAAAACAAAGTAAAGGAGGATAGCATTGGATCATAAATTATCAAACTGGATAATGACTGCACTTCTGTAGTCAATTTTTTAAGCTGCTAGACAAATTTTCATGAGGAAAGGTGCTGAAATACAACTCATTTCTGCCAAAATATGGGGAGTTTGAACATGTTACTTCATTAAAAAAACAAAACTTCTTGATGTTTGAATATAACCATCCCAGTCAAAAAAAATTTTGGATTTGGAGAGAATTGGCAAAATTAACATTCGTCGTGGCTCAGTGGCAAGTTCCTTAATTTTAGGATGGTTTACCTCATTATAGTGGTTCATAAAAGGAAAAAAAGGAGTCAGCCCACTCCAGTTAGTTACTTCACAACATGGTTCACTTGGTAAGGTTTAAATGCAGACCAGTCACCTAGCATGGGGAATAGCCATCACTGGGCAATGTCCAGAAGATAGGAATCGGAGTTCTCTGCATTTCAGCACCACTACCACTCAGAGATGGCACTGGAAATGAAACCTGTTTGCAAATCCACTCTCAATGAAGAGGATCTGTGTTATGACCAGAATGTGAATCTTGATTGACGGTTAAGGGAAAAAGATACCTTTGTGTTTCACTCAGCATATTTACTTTGTGTTTCACTCCCTTATTTAAAAAAAATTCAGGCTAAGTATCCTTTAAACACCACTCACATGATGAGGAGACCTTAACTATGGTCACAGATTTATAAATCTGTTGACTATTTCAGTACTGATTGCTTTTAGATGGCATTTTTTCACTATAAAGGCACTTTCACAGTGATAAATCTTTGCCTCTGACAAACAGTTCATTTTAAGGTTTAACAGAAGAGGCAGAGCTAAGTAAAAACCCTACCTCAAGTAGTACAGAATTTCTTGATTACCAATACTCCTAAACCCTTGTTTACTTTTAATACTTGAAGAGCCTTAAAAGCCCATACATAAAAAGCATATAAAATACTGGTTAAATACACAGATCCCAAGGCCTCACCTCCTGGTCCACTGAATTGGAATTTGAGCCATCAACATTTTCAATAAAAAAAACCATCCTAATGTCAGCTGACTGTGACATTAGGGGTCTTTGGATAACATTTTAAAAAACAATTCTAGAAAAAGATACTTATTACTAGTCATAAGGGAAATGCAACTCAAGATGGAGAGATGCTACTTCACACCCATTAGGATGGCTATTAAACTGCTGGCTAGGATGTGGAGAAATTGTAGCCTTTGTGCATTGCTGGTGGGAATGTCAAATGGTGCAGCCATGGTGGAAAACAGTTTGGTGATTCCTCACAAAGTTAAGCATAGAATTAATCACGTGATCCAACAATTCTACTTACGGGTGTATACCCAAAAGAACTGTAAAAGCAGGGGCTTGAAGAGATAGTTGTACATGCATGTTCACAGAACTATTCACAATAGCTAAGAGGTGGACAACCCAAATGTCCACCAACCAATGATGTATGTGGAAACTGGAGTATGAGTCATAAACAAAAATGATACATGCTGCAATATGGGTAAACTCCTAGGACGTGCTAAGCAAATATGCCAGACACAAAAGGACAAATGTATGAGTTCATTTATATAAGGTTACTTAGATTAGGCCAAGTCACAAAGTAAAATGGTGGTTACCAGGGTATTGGGGGTGAAAGAATGAGGAATTACTGTTAAGTGGGTACTGAGTTCAGTTAAAAATGAACAGTTGTAGATACAGACAGTGGGGATGGCTGCACAACAATGAATGTAGTGTCCCTGATTATACACTTGCTTACGAGACAGGAGGCTGCATGTTTAGGGCTCTTGAGAAGGAGTATAGGTTAAGTCCCACTTTGTAAAGCCAGCCTTATAGCCCCTGCTGGGTGGAACAAGCAGAGCAATCTGGCTGTGGATTAGGTCCCTCTGGTTGCTGAAAATGAATTATCATAGTTTCTTTTCCTCCCCTGTAAGATGACAGAACAGAAATGATAAAATCACAATAAAGTAGTCAATGAAATGTTCTCAGATGTCTCGATGCTCGCTCTTTCCCATTGGTCTTAACAAGCCCCAGATCTCCCAAAACACATTCAGTGTTTTTTTACATCTGAGCACAGTATATGGGTAACTAGCAAATGCCATTCTTATCCAAGACATTCCAAAATATCTTTACATACCTGTTCTGGTATTTTGTAATACAAGATTCTGAAGTCCATTACTGCCTGGGATAATTAGGTACCACTCAATATTATGTTGCAATCTAACAGTCTTCACAATAACACTGACTTAACTCCATTTGTACTTCATAGGGAAAGAAAATTAAGATACAAAAGTCTCAAGCAGTTGAGCAGAAGAACCTGACTTCATAGTTAGCAACACTGTGGACTAAGTCACGGGAGAAGAGAGGCATGGAAAGTCTACCAGATCTGGGAACTGGCATAGGCAAATGGGAGGAAGTGGCACCAGTTAGGATATCAAGCGTAACCACCACCCCAGGCTGGCTAGGTCAGCACTCTTTCTGTGATGTGTGCTAACACATACCACTGCCCAAAAAAAGCACTGAGTGTTTCTTCCTTATGTAAGAAAGGACCTGTCCTGGGAAGTGCAGGCTTCATCTGTTTGCTTCACTTGAATATTTTATTTCCCACCAACACTAACAGTTGGTGATATTTACATCTTCGTCCAGTTTCCCTTCTAAGTGATTGTTCTCAGGAGCCAATAGAGTCCAAATGTGAATCTGCTAGTAATGGTCTAGTTCAGTGGTTCTTGACCTTGATACGGCATCAGTCACCTGGAGGGCTTCTTAAAGCAGATTTCCGGGCCTCCGGAAGGTCAGCTGGTGGGTCTTGAGAATTTACATTTCTAACAAGTTCTCAGCACAGATGCTTCTGTTCTGGGGACCCCACTGAGATACTGTTCTCTGCCCTTCCAGGGGCAGTAACGAGCCCACCAAAGATAAGAATTCAATTTTTATCAATTTATTAACATTTCTGTAATAAACACTAGCCACCACCTGAGTGAAATTTGTTACTGTTTTGATTATGTTCACAAATTAGAGACATTTTGCTTACTCTATCGGTGTGAATAAAATCAATCTTGCCAGTACCTTTTGGCACTCATAACCTGAAGTTATGGGAGTTGAGATTTGGGTCTACAATTTGCTATTTAAGAGACCAGGTCTGGTCTTGACAGTAAAGCCACCATCAAAAGCTGCATTAAGAACTTCATCGAGGCAGCTTGCTGTGACAAAACTTAAATCCTGTCGTACGTTGCCGGGGATTTCTTCAAGGTCTTTTTCATTCCTCTGAGGAATAATGATTCGCTTCAATCCTGCTCTGTGTGCTGCCAGCACTTTGTCTTTAATTCCACCCACCTGTAAGGAGAGAAGAACGTTAAAATTCATGTCCATCTTCAGGCCATCAAAGAAGCCCTGGCCCACATTTTTTCCAAGAGTATTTCAAAATATCCAAATCATCTCCCATTTGGTTATAGCAAGAGGTAGGAAAACCATTAAAAAGGGTGAACAAATAATAAATTCTTTACATTTCAATCACTGTTACATTAAATCCTTTTAATATTCTAAATTTTTGATAGGTATGAGCACCTCTTCTGTCCATGTTCTGTTTTATATCATCAAGGTTAACATTTACATCCCATTCTGTAATCACAACAATCTTGTCTGTAGGTTGATTCTGAAAAAGCACTGAATTATTGTAACCATAAATATCATGCCAACAGAGCTGTGCAGTTGTGTGCCCGGATCATCTCCTGTATAGGTTTAAAACCATGACCTTTGTGCAACTTGAAGAACACATGTCCCAAAATGATTAGGCATTCGTGGTGGTTTTAAAATATGTTCACAATGGTTCCTTCAAAAGATGGAGTCTAATCCCCTATGCCTCTCCCCACAGCCCCCAGTACCAACCCCCCACCCCACATGTGGGCAGGTCTCGTGACTCACTTCTAAGAAATAAGAGTCTGCTGGAAGCGATGCTACATGCCTTCCGAGGGTGAGTCACAGAAAATTAGAGCTTCTGCTGGGATCTGTCTCCCTTGAATTTCTGACTCTGGAGGTACTCAGCTACCATGCCTAAAGTCAACCAAGTAACTTATGGAGAAGCCCTAAGGTAACTGGGGCCTTCTGCCAACCAGGAGCAAACCATGTTGAAATCAGAGTCCTCAACCCCAGTCACCCTGACTATGACCTGGCTGGTTGGTGTCTTGAACTATGACGAGAGACCCTGAGCCAGAGAGGCCAGCTAAGCCTCTCCTGCATTCTTCATCCACAGAAACGGTAGGAATAATAAATATTGGGGTGGTGTGTTTTATACAGCTTTCGTACACCTAGAATACATAATCCCTGGGGAGGGCCCCCCCGGCTCTCCAAACTGCTGCACCAAGACTGGCCACTCTACAGGCCATCCTGCACAGCTGCTGTCCTGACCCACTACCATCTGCTTTACGCTAAAGTACACTTTCAAAGTTTCCTTCTTCAGAAAGAGGGTAAAACAGACTGATTCCTTACATGTATGAAAATGTCTATTCTGCTTTTACAATAGTAAGTCTGTGTATGTACAAGACTAGATTTAAACTAATTTTCCCTCAGCGCTGTGAAGGTGTCACTAATGAGAAGCCTTTTCCTTGGTGACCTAGAAAGGCCTGAGGGCGACACCCTTTCCCAGACGCTGTAGGCCCTTTCAGCTGGACATCACCTCAAGTTCTAGAAATGCTCCATTATTTCTTTGATAGTCTGTCCTGTTGCATTTCCTTTGTTTGCTAGAACTCCTGTTAGATGTTGTATCTTGTTGGATTGTTTCTTCTATTATTTTTTTTGAATGACTGACCAATTTTAAAACCATAGTTTTAAATCCAAAAGATTTAAAATCCTGATTTTTAATCCAGATATTTCTGTCTCATCTCCATTCTTGAATTATGTTTTCTCTAGCCTGAGCAGGTCCTTCCAACAAACGTTGCTGCTGTTCTTCTGTTTCATGTTAAGAGTTTGGAGCTGAAGCTTGCCCTTCTCACAGTTGCTGTGGCTCTTCTCTGTTGGGAGTAGGGAAGTCTCTACCTGGGTGCTTATTTGCTCTGAGAGCAGGGGACCAAATGGAGGAACTATTTGTTCTATGGAGATTCAACGAATCTTCTGGTTTTTGTTCCCCATTTCCTTTCTACTCTCCTGGCGCTAAGCCAGGGCCTCTCCCAGATTCCTGCTGGGAAGATATCTCCACTTCCACTTCATCAGTCAGGAACTTGTATCTGCCAGAAGTTGGCTGAACTATCAGCTGATGAGTCCCCACTCATTTCTGAGTGTTAGAATTTACTCCCTTTAGTCCTTGCTTAATCTACTATCTTGAACTAGGAAGCTGAGGAGTTTCTGTTGAGAAGGAACTTGCTCATTTCCTTTTAGTATCATTAACCCTTAGTTAACCACTAATATTAAACCCTCTGCCACTTAAAAATGCAAGTTTCTGGTGAAGAAAAAACTGGCCATTCCTTTTAAGTATAGTCTACACATATATCATAATAAATTAGGGTTCAGAATATGACTTTCTGGTTCAATTAAAAATTGGGGAACTGAGAGTCTTTTTAGTGATCTTAAGTGGTGACTATGATCTACTTTCACCATTACCTCATAAAATAAAGGCGTTCTCAGAGTATAGAACATTCCTTCTCCCCATCCCCCACTCCAATTTGCTATGAACTTGCCAAAATTCTGTTGTAGACCGGTACTGATAACGACTTAAAACCCTAAATGATCTCTTAAGTTCTAGGCACTTCATGAACTATGAACTCACATTCTAAACACTTTATCAGTGTTTTAATAAGTAGTTTAGGTATGGACTAAAACTCCTGAAGTCCCATATGAACAAAACTTTTTCAGAATTTAGTAATTAAACATGGTTAGTCTTAATATTACCATTTCCACTTTATACTACTGATTTTCCTATAAATCTATCAATTATAGTAATCTAAGTTACTAAGTAATCTAATCTAAGTGGATGTCTCATAGGAACTTCAAAAGGTGAGAACTGGGCTTAAAGTTTAAAAATAAGCTACTATCCTATTTTACACATATGCTATATAGTTAATAATTTGTTAACTAGAACAAAACTTCAAATCTTCACCTGAACAGTTGATATGATGACCAGATTGATACTTTTTTTCCCCAGCAAGGCACCTTCCTTAGAAGGGAAAACATGGGGAAAATTGTTGTTTTTTTTCTTATTTGATCAAAATTTAAAAATGTGAATTAGCCAGTATAAAAATTTACTATGTATTTTAAAACTAAGGTGTGGTTCAAAGGAAGAAGGCAAACTATTAATTTAATTTTAAAACTAGTAAAGATAAAAAATTTAAAAACCTCATATAAGTAGGTTTCTTCATACTTACTGGAAGAACAAGACCTCTCAGTGTAATTTCTCCAGTCATGGCTACATCTGAACGTACCAGCCGCCCACTAAAAAGTGAGGCGAGACAGGTTACTATGGTAACTCCAGCAGATGGTCCATCTTTTGTGACAGCTCCAGCTGGGAAGTGCAGATGGATGTCTGTGTTGTCAAGAAGATCAAAACTTCCAGAAGCTTTAAAAAGGAAAAAAGGATTTTAATGTAGAAAAATTTAATATTTTCTTCTTCTCCTAAAAAAAGAGTATCAAAGAGATAAAAATATATGTTTTGCGTAAACTGGTCCTTCAAAACATTAATGGGTAGTACAATTAGAGCAGGGTCTAGAAGGACAGTTTCATACTATTCCAAGTAGGACTAAAAACAAAACAAATGCTTGGAATTAGCTTCCCATTCAGGCATTAGCCAAGGAGTCCTAACATGGGAACTAGAATTTCTACAGGGGTTCAAAATTAAAGGGTTGTACTTTACTGACAGTGTAACCGACGGTCTGAAGCTCTTCACCTTTGTCACTGAACTGTGAGATGCCTCCTGATTCTTTGCTCACAGCTGTACCCCAACCATGGCGAGCTCACTTACCATTAGTCAGATGGTATTTCTTTGCATTGCTGCGGAGCCAGCTAATAGCGAGATGGGCAGATTCCTTCATGACATCTCCTAGTTGGCCAGTCAGAGTTAACTGACCCTCACCATCCATTCGACTTGCCTCCACGAACATGATTTCTCCACCTAAGGGAGTCCAAGCCAAACCTATTGCCACTCCGGGTTGACTCAAACGCTCAGACACCTTGAGCAAAAGAAGGAAAATGATCGTTAGGTCCGTTAAGAGCCAAGTTACTTTCAGGCCGACTGACCCAGTCACAGTACGCTTCAAGAGCCTGCCCCTTCCATGGAGGGCTTAACATTAGACTGTGCCTCAAAGTACTGACTATCTCACAGGATTTGGAGTCACACTCACCACTTACATACATGGTCATCTGCCAGGAGAAAACTGAACTTCCTCTTTGGCATTTACCAGAAGCACTTTTACCTCGTAATTAGGTGTGAATAATACATACTGACTCAAAAGTGCCACATCTTATTAAACATGCCCTAGTTTTCAAGGAAGAAACCCAATTCTATCTACTTACTATTTTTATTAGGCTGCATATTTATAAATACTCCAGAACCTAACTTCATTTTAAGTAATTACAAATTTGTTTCAGAAAGTAGAAACCCTCTTTTTACCATACAGTTAAGAAATGTTAGCTCCAGAGTCCAAGTGTGAGGCTATATATTAAAACCCCTAGATTTTATTTCTCTGCTACTTACCCTTCTTTCTCTGCTTTTGCTACAGACACTCTCAAATACTACCTCAAGATGCCCTAGATCCTTTGCTGTGCTCTCGGAGGCCCCCGTGTTGCCTCACTGCCACTTTAAACTGAACATGTCTCTCATTTGAGATTACGAGCCAAGATGATGAGCCAAAGAGGTTAACACATCCAAGTTATGAGAAAACATAAAAGTAACAGTTGAAAAACAGTCAAGTTAACTTTTATTGTGCCCTTTGCGCCTCTAAATTTCTTATCCTATAGAAGTTATCCATGTCAGAGGAACTGAGCACAATGTCAACCCAGCACTAGTCCAATATGAGACTTTTTTTCTACTGAGCGGTAACTTTCTCACTAAGGAACAGCAGAGTCTGTAGCTGCAGTTTCTGGTTAAAGGGCTAGGTTGCGGGTGCTTATGCCTTTTCCAAGGGGCTTAGATGGCAAAGATTCTGATTTTAAAACTTACTCCAAAATCATGTATGGGAGTCATTGAAGCTATTAGGCACTTGTTTTTAGTAATAAACATGAAAGCCTATTTTTAAAGTTGGCTTTGTATTTTAAAAATTTAATGCCAATTAATGTCATTTAAGTTATAGACTTGGAAGTCCAAACTGCAGCACGAGAGGAGATGCTACTGTGCGCCACAGCTCTCACCTCCCTCAGCTTTGGCACTTGCTGTGTTCCAGATTTACATGAGGAGAAAGACCCAAAAGATCAATTTGCAAAAGACTGGTACTATTTAAGGAAAACATAGAAACAGTTGTAAAAGTGTTCACAAGGCTTGTGTTTTCTCATATAAAATCAATTCTCTGTAACTTAACAACATATAGTTTATGTGGGAATATGCCAGGGATTCCTGCTTTATTACATGAGCCTTTTCTTGGACTGAGTAAACTAATTCTAAAGAATTACCTTCAATATGCTGAACCATGTGAATTTAAAAGAAAAAGCCATTTGGCATGATTCTGTTAGCTATAATAAGACAATCCCTTTTTTACAGCTAAATCCTCAAAACTCATTTGTCAGAATAACATAAAAAATGTCCTTCCTCAAAGAATCAGGACTAAGATTCTTTTGATTCCACATTGCTTCAAGAAACCAAGCCAGTTTTCTGACACTCTCCATCTGCTGGAAAGTCTTGGTACTCTGTGTAGAAATAACTGATGCATTGTTAATGGAAAGGATGGGTATAGCTAAGTACATAAAGCCAAATCACAAACATCCAGGCTCACAATCACTTTATCCTAACTTGATGGTGAGTGTTTTAACATGAACCTGAAGATGGAACAAATGACAGATACAGCAACACACATAGCTGGAAGAACCGAAGGGCACGAGTTCCTATCACATGCAGACTCTTTGTGATAAGGCTAACAGTAGTTACCTAAGTACAGAATCTCTGATTCTTAGATTGGGAGTCATATTCTTTTGAGGGCATGATTCTATAACAATCAAACATCTGCTTTCTATGTATTTTCCCTCAGAAATGATAAGAGCAAGTAAATGTGAATTCACGGGGTAAGACGAAGCTTTCTTACTTTTGAATGCAAATACAGTTTCCCAGCCATCTTAACCACTTGGTACAGAACAATTTGTCTTACAGCATTCCTTAGTGATTCAACACAGTCATTTCAAAATTATATTATTCTTTCAGTACTTATCAATCAGTTTCTAATTCCATTACAGGTTTATAGAATCATCAGTTACATCAGCCAAGACATGTCTAGGCCTGAAGCTAAGAATGTCTTCCCACTGTCAAAGTGGAACATAAATATCTCAAGTTTATTTTTGTCCTTCAATTTCCTACTGGTATATCCTTGAGCTTTAGTTTCCTTACCTGTTAACTAAATCTCTATTCAAAGAAATGATCAATTTCTTCTGTAATAATTCTATCAATCATGCTAATATGCTGATTTAGAAGTGTTTAAAATATTTAATGAAAAAACCTAATGAGTGATACAATGTCTTAGAGAGTACGGTGGTAGTCTGAATGATAGTATTGTTAACAGTGCATTTGAGTATTTAATCATAGCCAGTTTCCCATTGTTCTTCCCCCTTGATTAACTAAAAATAATGATATTTGTCTGCAACTGTTCGATGTGCAACTCTCTGTGACCGTTCTCAGCCTGGACTAACATTTACAGTTTTATTACTTTGTTATTTACAACTGCAGCCCCATCAGAGGGATCAAGGTTTTATGTTTCAAGTGCTTTACCAAGCATCCTGAACCAGGCCCTGTTACAGATCATAGGGATATAGAAGCGAATACCTGTTGGAACTGACAGACTGTTTAAGGACATCAGATAAAGGGAAAATTATCCTCCAGCATGGGGAGTACAACAGCAGGAACTCCCAAGTGCTCGTATCCACTGAGAGCCCTGACGAGGCAAGGGTCCCTGTCTGGGGGGTTGGGACAACTGCCAAAAGAGAGGCTGAATTGGTCTTAAAATACGAGTAGGAAGGAGTCTGCTGGCATAGAAAGGCCAGGAAGCCTTTTCAGAGGCCAGCAGGTGTCAAAGACTGGAGACATTAATAATACTGTGGGCCTTCTTTCTAGCTGACAAGCACGGTACCAGGCCAAACATAAACCTGTATGTCAGATGGTTGTGCGACGTGTGCGATTTGTTTTGCAGTGACATCGCCACCATAAATTGGTTTCTTTTACACCTCATGTAGCTCTTTGCTCCTGCCAGGGTTGTGACCACAGCAGCTATCCACTTGCCAACTTCCTTAAATATCTCTGCACTAAGATCCTAAGCCTTGAATCATGAATATTTGATTTTTCTAGTTGTAAATTTGTTTCAGTACATTTAGAAAAGGGAAGGTTGGATTCCATTTCCCTTGGAGAGGTGCTGGGGTTTACCACTGTCATCTCTTAAAGAAGTATTGAATAGCCCTCGTCTGGCTTGATGCTGGCACTCCTGGGAGCCAGGAGCCAGCTGTTCTCAGATCCTTCCAGTAGGGCCTTTTCTTGGCACAACCGATTCGTGATGGGACACTGAGCCAGACTAAGTGTGCAGCTCCCGTGCCGTCTTTCACAGGGTCATGTGGTACAGCATGTGTAAATGGGGTGGGATGGAGAAGTAATTTACTACCAGGATTCTCTCAGGCATTTGTTAAGTTTACACTCTGCCCACTTCTAGCACCTGATTCTGTCTGTTTGAAAGGCAGGTGTGTTGATAGAAATTCCTGGATTTCACCAGTCTATTCAGGCTGCTTTTTAAAATTCCTATCTATCCCCTTCTTCCCTTTCCATTACTTTTTAAGGGCAGTGACCTTTGGATAAGGACTCTTCATACCACTGTCACGCCAATACTGAGGCTTTAATACAAATATGAAGGGCATCAGGAATACTCAGATGACACAGTCTCAGACTAGCAGGCTGGACAAGATACAGACACTTGTAGTTTGAGTGACTGGTTTTCTGAGGCTGAAAACTAAATTTATCCTGGAAAGACTACAGCCTTCTTGTTCTTCTGATTGTGTATCAGTACATTTACAATTTGTGAGTTTAAGATTGTTACCTACAGAGATAAACAGGAACTCTTTCTGTTGGCTATTTTTTGTGCCAACTACAAGATTGGCCAGCTAGGATATGTATCCAATAATGTGGAGACTTCTCATGGCTTCACTAAGATGAAAAAGAAAATTATAAGATTCTCATTTCCTGCCAAAGATGATCAGGTAATCAATAAAAGTAACTGTAACTGAGTTTACATTTTTAATGGCAATCTCATAACTGACCAGATGAAATAGCTGTGGTTTGATTCCTGTGCCCGTCCTAAATCTTCCACCTTGACCTGCTCCTGCCCAGGCTTTTGAGGCAGCATTCCCAGTCAGTCTGTGCTGTGAATGATACCTGCACATCTCCTACTTTCTCTTATAGTTTTCAGAATTTGGTGAGTTGATGTATATAAAGCCGGGTACATGCTAAAAGAATGAACAGATACTAGTTCCTTCAACCACCATGCTCCCCAAAAACAGACAGGTGTATCCCCAATCACCAAAAAAGGGGGAAAAAAATTCCAGTTGTTTTTATAATCCTAATTTTATACCATCACCTGCATTTAATAACTTTATACTATTTCTTACTATTCTTTACCTTCACTGAAGATGAATCTGGAAAATATATTAGTACCAAAACTGTTCTCGACCCAGCAAACTAACAATGAGAAGAAGGGCAAGAAGGCACACTTTTAACACTAAGTTATATCCCTTAAACAGGCGAAAAATGAGTTCTAGGAACTTAGTCTAGATCTGGGCAGTTAAGAGATTGCCATTAAAAATGTAAATTTGGTTAAAATTACTTTTATTGATTACCTGAACATCTTTTTTACTTTATTTTTATTTTTTATTAAGGTATCATTGATATACACTCTTATGAAGGTTTCACATGAACAACAATGTGGGTACTACATTCACCCATATTATTGAGTTCCCCCCATTCCCCACTGAAGTCACTGGATTACCTGGACATCTTTGGAAAGAAATGAGAATCTGATAATTTTCATTTTCAACTTAGTGAAGACAGGAGAAGCCTCCACATTATTAGATACACACCTTAGGGTGAGAAGGCACCCTTTTAGTACTACGCTATGCACCTTAAACAGGTGAAAAATGAGTTCTAGGAACTTAGTCTAGATTTAAAATTTAGCAACAGTATCATAAGTCACCTTTTCAAATACAGCAAGTTTCCTAGAGAAAAAAGATCAGTTAAATGCATTTAAAAAAAAAAAGGAGAGAAAAGATCTCCCTTCACTGTAAGAGAAAGAGTGGGAAAGAGTGGGGAAAGCATGATTCAGTTAGTCTTTTTAAACTTTTTTCCTGTGAATGGAAGACTCCTAGCCCTCATGACAACAGTGACACAGTGACAGCCCTCATGACAATAAAGAAATATTCCATAAATCTTCATTTCATACATACAAATGCTGAGACAGAGGGCAATTAAACAGTTTGGGGCTGATGGTCATCAGAACACTAAAGGGAAAGACAGAAACCACAGGGTGAATTCTCTCAAGTGAAGAAAAGATGAACAAAATGTTCCAAACTCCCAAACACCAAATCTTCTCTCCTATTCTGAGATGTTATTTATAAACAGTAAAATGGCTACTGGAATCTACCTTTCAGATTCATGTTGGTCAAAATGTTCAATATGTAATAATAGCTCAGATGCTACATGAAAAACAAAATGAATTTCTCCAATGATATCAAACAGAGCTGTTAAGCAGTGTTTACAAAATTTCCCGTTTCTATTCTGGCTCTTTCTTTGTCAAATCTCTAAGAATGTCAGCAATGCTTTCAAACTTAATAGCAGCACAAAGGGCTGGGAAAGGAGCGCATATGCAACAGAAACATACGTCAGTCTTTTGTTTTTATTTGTTGCTCTAGTTTAAATTCCTAAAGGACTGCTGGCTTGTACTGCTCTGTAGATGCCCATTGGATGTGCAGGAGTCAGAACCTATTTACTTCTTAACTCATAAAATCATTTTATTTTCTTAGAGCAGAAAAGTAGGGTTTTCTCACTTTCTCAACTAAGAGAAGTTTTGCTCCATTTCTTTCATCACTTCAACATTTACACCTTAAGAGTTCAAATAACCAACATGATGCCTCTGATTCTATCAGTCAAGACCAGATTTACCGTCAAGAGCAAGCAAGTTCTATTCTTGTAACTGAGAGCTTCGCAGAAAGGCTCATTAGCTTTACATGACCAGCTCAGAGTTTAAATAGATAAGCAAGATGGGTTTGGGGACTATTTCTCTTCTCCTTGAGGAGAGACTTAGGAAAACCGTATCTACTGGTAATGATTTCAAATGTTAGATGGAGAGATTATCTTCTGCATAATGTATCAGATTTATCTTCTGAAAATCTTTTTTCGTTAAACTGACAAGAAGGCAATGATAAAGCTTCTGAAAAAAGATGTTAAAGTCAGGAATATGATATAATTTTTTTTCTGGTAACTGGCCCATAAAAGCTCATTTAAACATCCTATAAAATATATCATAATTCCTCAGCAGTCACAGATTCAAACACCTAGTTCCATCTAGCTGCCTCTAGGGTTGGGTGTTCTGCTATGAGGGACAGTTGGAGGAGAAAGGTAGAAACAGGGCTAGACCTATACCCAGGTTTAACCCAAAAGGAATTACTAACAGTGAAACAATATGTTCCTGAAAGATGCCATATAGGTCTGCACTAGAGCAGACTGAAGAGCACGGCTTACGGCTCATGTTTTCAGATATTCTGTACTAGGTTGTCTCCCCTACCTCTTCCCACCCAAGCCTTTGCTAGCACAAGGAAACCCTTATTAAGACACATACAATAGAATACTGAATTCCTACAGAGCAAAGTCTGAGAAAGTCAGCAATACTGTTCTTAAAATGGAGCTGACAGCAGAGAGTAAGATCGGATTAGGTTTCTAAAAGAGGATATGGTCAGGCTCTCTGCAAAAACCGTATTATCACATTAAGCACTAAAATTCAATACTTTAGAGAAAACAAGTTTCCAATCTTAAGACAAAATTCAGTCTCCCCTGAAACCCAATTCTACGTCTCCCCTAATCTTTTAAGCAACCACCAGAGTAAGCTGGTGAGTGTCAACCAAAAAATGAGTCTGATCACCTCCATTTCATACATCGGGGGCCCAAGGATGTCTTTCAAGGCATGGAAATCAATCAAAATTGGCATTTCAGGTGGTAGGGCCAAGTCAGCAGTATCATCAATAGATTCAGGTTTTGAATCTTCTAAGATGTGTTCTCTGCAACCTAAGAGAAAAATATTTATTTAGAAATTCTCAGATTTCTAGGTTTGAAAACTCATTAGCAGTAAATATCAAAAAGCACAGTGGACTTCAACAATTCAGTCACTTTTACACAATTATGAAGGCACAAAAACTCACCTTGTGTATCTGGGGAACTCAGAGTAACTGTCCTTCAAGAGCCCCTGGAGACTAACATAAAGCAGTTCCCTTTCACTCATTTTCACTTGTTCCTTGTCTGTCTCCCCCTATGAAAGTTTCAGTAAGCTAGGGGAGGGCAGCAACCTTGCCTGTCTTCTTTTTAACCATTACATTCTTAAGCCAAGAACAATGCCTGACACTAGTCCACTAATGGGCTTTAGAGACCAGATACTTAAAGGTAAAACACCATAGATTATCTTATACAATTCTGTTAGATCAACGGAATGCAAACTTTTCAATTCCCTCTTTAGAGGAGTTCCATCAGGTGTCCCATTTCCTGACAGGCAACATGAACTTGGAAATGATAGGACCTGTATGAGCAATGGCTCTTTTGTAAACATATAGCTCAACTCCAAGGTTATCATTTTCCAACAAAAACAAATATAACTGGCAGTGCCAGGGTAAGAGAATATGATACCTGATTTGAAATCCCTATAATAATGCACTATTTCCTTAACGTGCCTAAAAGCCTGGTTGCTGACATCTTTTCGAAGTATCGACTCATTTTGGTTTGGACCAAGACATACAGAGAGCAGGAAGGAGCCATTTAACCTGTCAGACCATCTTTTCTATTGGTCTTATTCCAATTTGAGTAAAGAAAAATGTTACTTCAGTCTGCAGCCAGAGACCTAAAATGAGTAGAGGTTTAAGCAATGTAGAAAATATTTGGCTCTATTCCTCATTCCTAGCTTTGTCATCATTCTTCTAGTTCTTGAACCATTTTAAGTATCTTTTTTTTATTGCCTTTTTTTCATACACCCTCCCTTTGGGAAATGATTACTGTATATATTAATATACAACATATAATTATATGTCATCTAACATTGTATATCTATGTATTTATTATAGTTTTGCTGTGATTCTTCCTTTCTAATATTTCATAAAGTTAAAAGAATTTTCACTGACTCCTTTCCTTCCCAGAGTGATTACTGATTATGTTTAAGAATATCAGACCCTTATTTAGACCCTAATTTAACGATTAACTGGAGACCTCCTAGGATGACCCTAAGTGGGCCCCATGCATTACAACTCTGCCATGACCTTCCGGGGAAAGGGCTCTCTTGGTCTTCTACTCTCCTCCTGGACCCTGTGAAGCTCCTCTTCATGATGAGTGACACAGAGAGACAGGAGAAAAAACAGACTACAGCTCCAACGTTCTGCCACTCGCTGGCTATTTGATCCTTTGAAAAGCACTACATCTCTCACTACCTATCTTTGCAGGATTCTTAATCCTTATAAATAAAGGAATTAGAGAGAAAATCCTTTACAGACTACCAACTGCAATGCACATGCTGTATCTATAAGTGTAAGTCATGAGTTATATATATTCTCGCAGTCATACCTCTGCAGTGTCACTTGATCTCTCAAACCAGATTCCAGGAAGTTCTCACTCATCTTTCCAACTTCCTGCAGCACATGGCTGTTTCACAAAATCTAACAATTATGGAGTTGCTCAGGAGCTCATGGACATGGAGACTTTCTGTCTGCTGCTGTTTGCAAGCACACCTAAGCAGTATCACTGAACAAGGATAGGAAGGCACTCAAAATGATCAGGTTAGCTTCAGGTAGATCTCAGGGCACAACAGAAATCAGGTGTCATTGCTTAATTAAAATTAATGCCCAGAAAGAAAAGCACCACCTGTCTAAGGTTACTGTACCCTAAAAATAAAGGGCTCTGAACTTAGCTGATACACAGGTGAGGCTGCAATTTTCTTTGGTCTGTTGTGCTCTGTGACGCGCTTTTCTGAGATCTAATTACTGTTAAAGCCTGGAATTTACTCTTACAAGAGGAAGTAAAGTTGGATGGGTGAAAACCAGTCCATAATTATGTAACCAATGCTTTAGGACACCCAATCCCTTTCCAATGCAGTAGTGAATTCAGTGCTTTGACCACTGAGGGAGTGGGGGTAGGGAGAACTATTTCTAAAGAAAGTAGACCTTATAATATACAAGGTGGCAATTTAGGCTTTAAGGCACAGCAGCTTAAAGTCCTATGAAAAATTCAATAAACTTAGAACTCATCTGTGCTTCAAAATGTTCAATCATTAGAACACATGCCTAGGGAATTAAAGCTCAAGTAAAGAAAATGGTGTCAGCTAACAGGAAAGATAGGCTAGCACTGGATTTTAAGAATCATCTAGTGCACCTTGTGCAATACAAAGTGAGAGTAAGGAAATTCTGGATTTTCAGAGAATTCATACTCTGACTTCTCATTAAAATAAACAACGACCAAATATCACCTCACAAAGATGCCATTCAATAAACGAGGTCCAAGTTTTAGCTGACCTTCTGAGTCTATGCACAAGCTTCCAAGTACGCAGCTTTAGTGCCATGTTCTCCTGCTCAGAAGGCATCAACACCAAGAGAAGAAAGTGGCAGAGACTCTAAGATTCAGTCCTGGCCTTACCCCAGTTTGTAACATTCAAGCAAGATGGACTTTTTAAGGCAATGCAAACAAAAACAATTTAAAAAGTTAAACCTTCCAACATAACATGGACCCTGTCCCACAAACCCTTTCTAATGAAATTAAGCAGTTTTCTTCTTCTATGTCCTTCTCTTGGGCTAAAACAGTGGTTCAAACTAAATGGTTCACAGTCACATGAAAAAATGATTATTTCACTAGAAGGAAAGTGTAAATAATAAAAGCAAGACACTGTTTTCTGGTCACCCAACTAAGCTAACTAGTAAAGGTATTTAAGAAATGACAAAGATCAATGTTAAAGTAAGGAGACCTTAAATGCTGTTGTTGCTCATGGAAATATAAATTGATTCAATCTTTCAGGAAAGATGCTTGTCAATATATTGAAAGCCCTCCAACCACTCGTACCTCAGACTCAGTGATTCTGTTTTGCAGGAACCTGTCCTTAAGGACATAACCCAAAGTGCAGACAACCATTGTGCAGAGAACAGTTTAGACAATAAAGCTACTTGCTGAAGCCCTATCTGTTAATAGCAAAAATTAGATCTAATATAAATAGTCAACATTAGAAACATGGTTGAGTACACAGTGGTATATCCATCTAATAAAATACTACACAGTCACTAAAATTGTTTTCCAAGTGTTTTTAAGTAATGTAAGAAAATCCTTTTGAAACAATATTAAATTGAGGGAAGAGGAGGGTATGTATATATTTTCACATGGCATGATTTTTACTGATATATAGTATATATATATACATGAGGATGAATGAAATGATGCAGTCCAAAATGTTGACAGAAGTTATTCCCTGAGATGGATTACAATTATATGGTGAAACAGCCAATAAATAATAGTCACCAATCCTGGCTCAGGCTTCCTAGTTGGTCTTGAAAAAAGTTACTTTACCTACTTGTATCTGTTTTTCTATTCAGTGAAACCATAACAATTACAGTTACCCTCAAAGATTTGCTGGGAGAATTTAGTAATGCTTAAAGCCTTAGTATGTATAAAATGAGAAGAACTCAATTATATAGTTAGAGAAATATCTAACATAGACTTCTAAAATTCACATGTCTCACTCCATAGTCCCTTCATTAGAAGAAAACAAAATGTTCTCTGCAACCTAATTCCACCCAGGGCTTTGACCACAATCAGATGACTGTTGGGAATCACATGAATTTAATATATGTAGGAAAAAAAAGATATTAAGACTAAAGACTCTGCCCTATGCTATAATATATATTACCATTATATTTCATATGCTAAAATTTTCTTTATAAGTAGTTTTGAAGTGTATTTTTAAAAGTAATAAATTGCTATTAAATAGAGTTTGAAAAGAAAGGGAATGGAAAAATAAAAAGAGTAGAGTAAATTAGCCTAAATCCACTCCAACTATTTATTCACTTAAAAGATAGACACAAAATTATTCTGAAAGTGGGAGGGAGCTAAAGTTATTTTAGTTGATTTACTCTGCTCAGAGATATCTCCAATATCTCCAAGCTCTTCTTTCATCCACATTATCAGCCTGTTTTGCCTCTAATTCAGGACATAGCCAGTCTGGTCAGGGTATAGCCGAGTTTAAAAGCATGAAGGCAGCAGATAAGCAAATGGCACCCAGGGCAGACCCTGCAATGCTGAACAGGGGCCACCCTGCAGCACAAATGTGGGCTCTGGTGACAGCTGTTCACAAAGCAAGGGTGAAATGTGGGAGCACTCCCTAAGGGGGATAAGCCAGACTCTAGAACTGATGTCACCACAGCTATCATAAAAGGATATCCTATGGATGCAAACTCCTCATGAGAAAGGGTTAGGCTTTTCCAAAGCAGCTGTCACTAGGCCACCACAAAGCGTTCTTTTCCACTCACTGTCTGTCAGAGGAACACGACTTAAATGAAAGCAGGCCCAAGAGCCAAAGAATTGCTGTGGGAAGGAGGGAGAAAGTCAGATATGAGGAGGGGAAGTAAAGAAGACTAGAGGGTGCAATACCTCAGGCAACTCCAGTAGCTTTCTTTTAGAAAACAAAGTTTCTTATCTTCTGAATAAATGTATAGCAAATGGTGTCTCTAGGCAGGTGATCCAGCCAATGGAAAATACCAGAGACCAGGAACACAAAAAAGGCTATTAACAGCAACAGTAATTCCCCAGAATGTGGCAGAAATGAGAATCCACCTAACCACAGACAGGCGTAGGTTATCTATAATCATCTTTACTCAAGACAGAAAATTTTAGCTACCAGTTATTATTCTCTATATTCTGCTTAACTTGAGGCATACACTATACTCACAAGCCCAGTCTCATGGGTTCAAAAGCAACATTTTGTGGTATAGTGGTAATAGGAACCCCTTCCAGATTATTAAAGAAGTCTTCTTTTTCACAAAGAGCATGTT